CAACAAAAACAGCAAATCCTCACAAATGAGAAATAGAAAAATAAAGCAATGTTTGGTATTTCTGCTTGAAAAATGATGCAACAATCAATCAACATATTGCTGGTGATTACTTTGCTCACCATCAACTGATTGCTTCAGATCTAAATAAGCAATTCCTTTCACTTTCTAAAACTAGTTAAATTAAGACCACTGTGGTGTAAACAGAGCTAAATGTAAACAAAAGGGCAGCATGTGAATGGCACAAAGTTAATCCCAAATCATTTTACAGCCAACCGGCCTTTAATAATGTTGAATAACTAAAAGCAACATCTGTGTCTGCGGTGTAAAAAAAAAAAACAACAACTTGAGAAACGTCTGGGCAAACACATCTGTTGGGTTCAGACTTTATCTCCATATCTCCACCGCCTGCTGGTGAAGGTGAAGCTGAAGCCGAGAGAGGTGAGAGCAATGTGGACGGACAGGTTATACTGCTTCATTTAAACATATTACTTTACCTGTCCTGCCAGGGCCGGCACACCTCTGGGAGCCCCGGAAGGTGAAATTAAAACGCTCCTAGAGAGCTCCCACGTTGCTCTTAGACTCTTGTCTCAAAGCCACACAGACTGATATGTTTGTTGTGGACACAGCGGTGAAAACAAACAAAAACCCCTGCTCCTACCTGCGCGGTGGGCGTACTGGCTCCAGCGGGGCTCTCCGGTGCCGCTTTGCCGCTTTCGTCCTGCATTTCCTCGCCCGGCACAGGTGGCGCTTCACTGGTTTATCTGTCGCTCGTAAATCCACATTTTTTACTTGGTTAAAGTCCTCTTTGGAAGCACACCACGTTGCTGCTGTAGTTTTAGTGGCGAGTTCGGTCGACCGAGTGTGACACAGCAGGGAGACATCAGCGATGACGATGAGGAAACCAGGCCCGGTGGGCGGCGAGGTGAAGGGCAGGGAGGCAGGGCGCAAGTGCGGAGCAGACACGGAGGAGGAGAAGACACCTCCTCCTGCTCACCTGCTTTGTTTACGGTTGATGTAAGGTTGTTTTGGGAGGGGCGAGTGAGTCGACATAGATACCTGGAGTGGCCAAGTTAATAATAAATAAAAGCTTTTTTTCCCTTTGTTTTTTCAAATTATTCATTTTATTTTGAGAATAATATCAAGTTCAATGTTTTCTGTCGCCTCAAAAAGTGACTGCAAGTTAGGAAACTGTGAAACAACACTGGTGCTTTGAGGTTAAAGTTGTATACTTGAACAATAGTGTGACATTCTTTCTGAAACTCTATTTCTGTCTCTTCTTTTAGAGGAATAGTTTTGTCTTATGTGTCCAGGGTCCTCTGACTCCCATAGAGACATATGGGGACATGACCAAGGGTCCTATGTTCCCCCTGTTCTGGGGTTAGGGAGTTCAGGAGCTTAGAGGACTCTGGGAACATATAAAAGGGCAAATGTGGTCCTGTTTTCACATTTGAGGAAATATTCTGGTGTTTCTTGCCAGTTTGGTCTGGTCACACCAGAAAGTGTCAGAGAAATTAACTACAGTTAGCTAGTGAGTTAACTGCTAACATGCTAGCCAGCCAGGACATGCTTACTCTAATTATTAATCAATAAATTGACTAGCCTACTTTTTATTTATTTATAATTTAAATGTTCATAATTTAATTTAATTTAATTTATTCTAAAATTCCACAACTTATATAAATAAATGAGGTTATTATATTGATCTTGTACTGAAGATCTAAGAGAAATAGACAAATATCCATCTCTGTGTAAAAGACCAGACTTGGAGTGAACATATATGGACTTAATAAAGGCTCAGCATTCTCCAGCTGCTTCACAGTTCACCTTCTTGCTTTTGCTGGAGTTTGTGAGATTAAAAACTTACAGAAATATTACCTGCTATAATATAATAAATGCAGTTTATTTAATCCTCTTGGTCCGTTAGTAGCTCAATAAATTCAAAATAACATATTTTGTATATTAAATGGTTTTAACACCTTACTTTTGTCACTGGCTGTTAAAGTAGCTCTTGATCTTGAGATTGGGCGAGAAAGGAGGTAGATTTTAGGTTTCACGTGGCTGTAAGGGAAGCTGTAAATTGTGTGTTAATCTGCCTGTGTATGTGTGAGAGAGAGAGAAGTAGTGACCACACTTCTCAGTGCTACTTCCTCAGATGTGATGTCAGGTACATTCTGCAATATGAGAACCAAAGAAGCAAACAGCAAAGCAAAATTAACATAAACGAATGCATTGTCCATATTAGTGTCAATGGTGTGATGTTGAGGGGCTTTTTTTCTTTCTTAGTTGCAACTCAGGGACTCTTTAATCCACATAAGCTCTTGATGCTTCTCTAAATCCATCCAATCTGTTGAGTGTCTATACTTAACAGCCCTACTCAACAAATGTGGGTCAGTAGATGGTATAGTGAAGCTACACAGTTGCTGTTTGTGCAGAGCAAAATCATCACCTGAACTGGAACTTTAAGGAGTGTTTTAAAATGAAGATTTAGCCCAGTTTTGTCAGATTCTGGTTTGGCTACATCGTCCTGATGGAGGGGGGAAGCTGGAATTAAACTACACGAGAGCTTGAAGAAGTGAGAAGGTTTTTGAGGATTTGACTGAGAAAATGGAGCTGCAAGACCAACTGAAGAGCGATTGGAGAAGTTTTTTTTGCAATCAGCCACCAGTGGAGTTTGACACAAGTGTAAACCATCATCTTCTCTGCAGTGAGTTGAAAAGCAGCCCTGTGAGGCTGGAGGACAGCGCAGATCCATACTGCAGCATCTGGTCGGACGCCGAACAAGCAGGAATCAAGAGTCGTAACAATCGGTCATTTGCCATGGATGCAAGAATGAGACTAGATAGTTTGAAGTCAGGGTGTAATTCACCCTTGCCCTGCGTTGCCATGGATGGGATGATGTACAACTATGACTGTGAAAAAGACCCTTGGGACAGTGAAGATTCACAGGATGAAGAGTCTGCTTTGGACCAGGTAGAGCTCCTTGATGTCGATGACGATGTGCAGGATGAAGAGAACTGGTAGGTGTGATCAGACCTCTGAGACTTGTGGTCCAGTCTGATTCTAGTAAAGGTGGAACAATCATAAATGTGGGATGTGTTATTGATGAATGGAGTATTCCTGACAGGTTGTATGAGTCTCCAAAGAAGCAGGACTTTGTGGGGAGAAGTGAGTCTGCTCTTGGATGGTGTCGACGCGTACTGGATAACCCCAGTCCTGAGACGGAGGCGGCGTGTCGTTCACTGATAAATAGGCTGGATCAAAGTGAGCAAGCAGCACAGACTCACTCATTGTCCTGCACATATTTTTTTAATTTTTTGTATTGGTGGTTGGTTTTGGTTTATCTTATACCAACTCTGCATTGTCAGGATCAAGCAGTCACCTCTACAGACGTCCTGCAGTTTCCCATCGCACTGGTAATGTTTCAGTGGGCTCCTTTATGGACAAAACATCTGGCGGCACAACATACAATACCTCCGACAGTTTAGGTAATAAAATAATGAGATATTTTCCTTTTTAGACAAAATACCCTGAGATACAGCTTATAACTCTTCAACACTGAAACAAAATCATTAATAAACATGTAGAAATATACAATATTTAAGGGCAAATTCACTTCTACACATAGACGACCTTTATCTTCATCCAGCTGTCTTTATCATATCATATATTTTAAATGCATATTTTGCATCTATTAATCTGCAGATACCAGTGAGATGAGCATCTCCCATGACTCCATAACCACAAGCTACAGACTGCAGGACATGACAGATGTCCACATTATGGCTCGTATGCAGGAAGCCAGTGAGTATATAAAAGAGTGTGTTTGATGAGCTACTGTACATACTCTGCATGCTCAGTGAAAGCTGGTTTGTGACCATGTTTTTCAGGTTTAAGACAGCACTACGTCTCCACACCTACTACTGCTTCACCTAGGAGAGGCCTTGAGCCATCGGTGATGTCTCCATCTTACTTTAACCACACTGTTCAAAATATTGATGACTTCATTGCAGGAAATAAAACTGGGGCGTTGTCTTCCTCTTGTTGGCAGCCTGGTCTGTCGTCGCTGCACTCTTTCTCTTGCCAGGCACCAACATCAGTAGCTAAGGGCTGCCAAAGTCCAAAACTGGCCCGACTTCACCAGCAGGTCACCCAGTTCAAGCTGCTTAAACTTGCTCAGAATCAAGGTACACAGAGCACGCACAGGTTTTCTAGACATGTTTTATTCTATTTTCATTAACAACCCATTGCATTATCAGAGGCCTTGTTGGGCGGGAACTTTGCGTAGTTGAAACTGCGTGTGTGAACCAGAACTCTGATGTGTTTTGCAGCAACATCACCAGCCAGACCCAGGTCACCTCTGCGGACCAGCCTCCGCTCCCTTCAGGCTGTTAGAAACAGCCGAAGTTTAGAGACTGAGGACTATCAACCTGCTGACTCCCAAATCCCTTACCCCCCCTCAGGTTTGGATCTGTTTTCTCATACAACAAAAAGAAAATACCAACAATATACATGCAGATACAGTACATCACTGAAACATAGACAGACAAGACAGAACAGTTATAGCAATAAAAAAATCTAATTGTTTTCTCAGGTGTATCATCTGCCAGAAGGGGGTCCAGTCACTGGTCCCCATCAGTTTCTGCGACATCCATTAATTCCAATGGCTTGTTGCACTCAGCTAGAGAATCCTCAGACCGGACGGCCGCCGTGAAGAGACTTCAGAGGTCTCAGTCTGTCAGTCCCTGCAGGATCCCACACTCTGCTAAGGGATACCTGTCTATTCATGGACGCATTTTTGCCTCACCTGATAGGTCGACCTCTGTAGCTTGGGCCAGAAATGTGCCCTCCACTCAAAGGTGAAAGGTGTCACCAGTGGCGTATCTACAAAACATAAAAAAAATGTATGTCATATCTTGAAGTCATTTGCTTGTACGGTTTCCTGAACGTTTCAGATTGTGAAGGAATGAATGTCTGTATTAGAATCCTTTATAACATGGCATGTTGCTCTGGCTGAAGATAATGTATGTACTGTCTCAGTGTGAAGTAGGACATGAGTCATCTTCATCTGCAACAGATTGTAGACAAAGACAGCAGAATGTGTAGCTGGCACTGCCAGAAGCATCCTGGAGGGCTTTACATTACAGAGACATCCTGTGCGGTGTAATACGACAGTAAAAACCTGAATAATGTGGACTTTCGCCAAAAGTTTCTAAGAATGTAGAAATGTCAGATGATCTTATTATGTTATGTGGATACATTCACCCTTTTGAGATACTCTTAAAACAATAATGAAAGTGAAAAAGAATTCTTTGTGCTGCATGCTGCAAAACCACTAACACATTAAACATTACAGTATATGCTTGGATAGAGGTTTTGTCCCAATGTGAGATTTCACTGCTGATTTGAATGCAGTCAGACTTCACTTGCTGATTGTAGAACAGTTTTCTGCAGAGCTGTCACAACAGGAAGTGTGCAGGTGACCTCTGTGTAATAGGAAGCGTGCTCGTTACCAAGAAGTAGAGTTGTGGTTTCTGAGCGGTTTCTTAAAACCTTTTCATTGTCATCCACTACTTTGATGGGGGTGCTACATTTTACTGACGTTATTGTTCTGGTGACATGATGTAGTCTTCCCCAACCAATGCATCACAGTTTCAGCTGTTTCCTCAAACTCAAAATGTGCTTTTCTTCTTATTCTTAGAGAGTGATGTTTGAGCCTCACTGTGCAGAATGATGTGCAGA